TAATTGCTTTTAGAAGTAAAAATGTATTTCTTCAAACTTCCAGAAGATGACAAGACTGCCATGCTGTCACTAGTTCTTACCTCTAAATTTGAGCCAATGATATTACCAATAGACAGAGATGACAGAGATGGTCATCAGAGTTGAACAATGTGCAGTAATAGATGTCCTAGTCTAATCCTGGAGAATGTTTCAGTTTTCTCATAATCAGTGCTTCTCAAACTAATATACATACAAATCACCTGGGGTTTGTTTTTTTGGTTTTTTGTTTGTTTGTTTGTTTGTTTTTGCTAAAGATGAAAATTCTGATTCAGTAGGTCTGGAGATTTTAGATTTCCTACAGGCTCCAAAGCAAGCAATGCTGCTTGTCCAAAGACCACTTTTTGAGCAGCAGGAGACTAGGGCTCTGCTGTACAATACCACAGCCACTAGCCACACGTGGCTGTTTATGATGCTGTTCAGATCAACTATAACCTTACTAATTTCCTACTTGCTTGATCTATCAGTTACTGAAACAGAAGTGTTAAAGTCCCCAACAATAAACATATATTGGTCTGTTTTTCCCTGCAGTTCTATCAGTTATTGCCTCATGTATTTTGATGCTTTGTTGTTAGCTGCATACATGTTTAGAATTGTTACGACTTCTTGGCTAATTGGCTGCTTTTTCATTATATAGTGTCTATCTTTATCCATGATAATTGTTTTTAATTGTGAAGTGCTGTGTTTGAAATTAAGATAGCTGCTTCCGCCTTCTTTTAATTCTTGTTAGCATTGTATATCTTTCTCCGTCTCTTCACTGTTAAACTATCTGAGTCTTCACATTTAAAGTAGGATTCTTGTAAGCAAAATATTGCCGACTGAAATAAATACGCAGCCTAAAAGTTGAGAGTTATGTTTTATTTGGCGGGAGGACTTGAGCCGACAGATCGACAGCCTCTCAGATCATAGCTCTCAGGAACTGCTCCAAAGAGGTAGGGGAGGAGCTAGGATATATAGGAGCTTTACAACAAAGACCAGGTAGTTGGAACAATAAAAGATTACTTGTAAACTAAAGAAAACTAGGCATCTCAAGTTAAAGAATGTAGTGCTTTTCTATGTACGGGAGGAAGCAAACATTTGGGCTCATTGAATTCATTCCTTTGACAAGGATCTAGCTATCTAGGGCCAGTATCTTGTCCCTTATTATTCTGAGTCCCCTCAGGGTGCACCATTGTGAGTGGCTGCAGAGGCTGGGCTGCAGGCCTGTCCTCACGGGGCGGGGGGTGGGGGGGCGGCATAGGCTGATGACTTGGTTTCAGCATTCTTTGTTTACTGATATTGTTGCAGTATTTTCATTCATAATATTGAGTCTTACTTTTTTAATTGGTGCATTTAGAGCATTCACATTTGAAGTGATTATTGATATAGCTGGATTAATATCTACCATGTTTGTTACTGTTTTTTATTCATTGCATTTGTTCTTTGTTTCTTTTTCTTCTCTTTCTGCTTTCTGTGGTTTTATTTGCACATGATTTTATTTTGTCTCTTTTCTCAATGTGTCAATTATACTTCTTTAAAAAAACAATTTAGTGACTGTCTTAGAGTTTGTAATATACATTTTAAAGTAATCTAAGTCCACTTTCAAACAGCACTATGCCACTTCATTTGCAGTGAAGATCACTTATAAGAGGATTCCCAGTTTCTCCCCGCCATCCATTATGGCACAGTTGTCATTGATTTCACTTATCCATTCGCTAAAATCACCCAGTATGTTGTAGTATTATTACTTTAAACAGTCATCTTTTAGCTTAAGAATAAGAAAATAAAAGATTTTACCTTCATTTATTCCTTCCTTTCCTAATGTAGATGTGGTTTCCAACATATCATTTTCTTTAAACCTGAAGGCACTCTTTTCGCATTCCTTGAAGGGCAGTTCTGTTGACAAAGAATTCCCTTAGTTTTAGTTTGTCTGAGAAAGTCTTTACGTCTCCATCACTTTAAAAAATAATTTCTCAGTATTTAGAATTCTACAATGGTGAGATTTTTTTTTTCAGTACTCACTATTTCACTCCACTCTCTTTGTGCTTACATGGCTTTTGTTTTTAAAAAAATCCACTATAATTTTGTCCCTGTTCCCTTTTAGGTAAGGTATTTTTATCCCCTCTGGCTTCTTTCAAAATTTGTATCTCTACCTTTGGTTTTCTGCAGTTTGAAAATGATATGCCAGGGGTAGGATGTTTGTTATTTATCCTACCTGGTGTTCTCTGAACTTTCAAGATCTGTGGTTTTGGCTTCCATCATTAATTTTGGAAACTTCTTGACCATTAATGTTTCAATTAATTATTCTGCTCTATTTTCTCTTACCTCTTCATTTGATATTCTAATTTTGGGTGTGTCACTCCTTTTGAGATTGTCCGATAGTACTTGGATGTTCTCTTCTGGTTTTTGTTGTTGATTTTTCTTTTCTCTTTGTATTTCAGTTTAGGAAGTTTCTATTGACAAATTTTCAAACTCAGATTCTTTCCTCAGCTATGTTTGGTCTACTGATGAGTCCATCAAAGACATATTTCTGTTTAGTGTTTTGAAATTTTTATTTCTTTCTTAGAGCTTTTGTTTTTCTGGCAAAATTAACCATCTGTGTTTGCAAGTCATTTGCTGTTTCCATAGAGCCCTTAACATACTAATCATTGCTATTTTCAATTCCACCTGATAATTCCAAAACCTGCACTGTATCTGAATCTGGTTCTGGTGCTTGTTTTTATTCTCCTCAGAATGTGTTTTTTGTTGCCTTTTAGCATGAATTATAACTTTTTGTTGAACACCAGAAACAGCGTTAAACTAAGTCAACAGGAACTGAGGTAAGCAGGCCTGTAGTGTGAGGTGTCGTGTCCAACTGGCTTGGAGTTGGACTGTTCAGGAATTGCTGTAGTTGTACGTTCCAGAGACTTTCACTCTGCGAGTGTCCTTGTTTTACCTCCACTGTTGTCTTTGTGCTTTGTTTTCTCTCGAATGTTTTCTCTTAGAACTTAGAACTTAGTCCCCATATAACTCTTCCTAGATGGACCGTGCATCCTGCAGCTCTTTCGGCTACAAGCCACTGCTTTTATACAGCAGTCCTGCCGACATGGTGGTAAACTAGCTGCAGCCCTGGGGATGGGATGGCCCTTCAAAGAGGGCCTGCATTAGTAAGGGGGCCAGTCCTTTGTACTCTTGCCTTGATAAGATCACAGATATAGGAGCGACTTGGGGAGAAGCGCTCAGCTATGGAGGGGCTCGACTGCAAGTGGGAAATGAATGAACACCAAGGGCCCAGAGGAGGGAGCTGAGGCGCGGCCCACCGTCACCCACCAAGCAGTGAATAAAGATGTTTTAAACTGCTGCATTATGCTGGTGAATACCTGATCTGCTGCTGCGCAGTTTAGTGTTATTGCCCCTGGAAATTCTGATGAACATGTAACTAGTATAATCATGCCAGTTCTAATTTCAAATTAAGCTGTGCTGATGGTTTCAGTTGCATTTTAAATTCACCCCCAGTTAAGCGTAGTAAAATAATGCCATTATCGTGGAGGACAGAGTTGTTTGAAGATTCAGTGAAATAGTGTAAATAAAACACTCAGCACAGTAGAGCCAGCACAAGACTAAGGACTTGATAAATGCAAGCTAAGATAAATAAATGGAACAAAATTATAGCTCTTAAAAAGTCATAGTTTCTTTTTCTATTATTGCTAAAAGTGCATGTATGTGTATGAGATTTGGTTTTCTTGTTACTTTGTTTTTCTTTCTTTTGCTTTTCTTCTATTTAAGGGAAGGATTAGACTTTAATCTCTCAAGACAAAGTTCTATTTATTGAAGAAGTGCACAATCATTTAAAAATTATTTATTTAATTTCTCTCTTTGGATTTTTTTAAAATGAAAAACTACTCTAAAGTGAGAAGGCATTATAAATAAAACCTTTTTTCTCTCAAGTTCAAATTTCTTTCTTAATGCTGTATGTTTACCACGTTTCTCCTTTGCTCTTTAAAATTGTTTCTGATATTGACTCGTCTGAAGGAATTCATATTAAAGTTTTTGTTGTGTTGAGAAAGAGAAATTAATTTCATATGGTAAAGGTGAGTGAGAGATTACCTTCTTTCTGCCAGCCAAATAAATTTGAGATAAAGCTGAGTGAGTGAGTGTTTTCATTAGTCTGAAAAGTATTTATTTCCACATGTAATTATAAAACAAATAATTCTGACTTAATGAAATAAAACCAACCCTGAAAACAAATAAGACTCATTTACAGTTCCAACTAAGTTAAATACTGAAAAATGTTTTCATTCTGATGTGTTTTGAAATGTCTAATGAAATTACAAATAAAATAATTCAAAGAACGTACGTGTATAGATGGTATCCTAGGAAGAAGCTCAAATGCACTTTGCCATTTTAAGATTTCTCTTATTTGTAAGTCAATGGCAATAATGAAGGAAAGTTGAGTTTCCACCTAAATCTTATGGACATGCTAATTTTCATAGGAATTGAGTGTAAGTATTTGACAACATGCACAGTAGGTCGAATTGATACTGTGATCCTTAGAGTTAAATGCTTTATTTGATAAATGCAAGAATCTAAGATTACTTCTTGCAGAAGTTTAAAATAGATGATCATAAAGTTTAATGTTAGTGGCAGGGATTTATACCAATCATAAACTAAAAACAACCCACATTAATATGTTGAGGTCAAGAACCTACATTATATCAAAATCAAACTGTCCTTTTTTTCTTTAAAAAAAAATAGCCAATGAACTAGTTAAAACCAGTTAAACTGAAACTCAAATCTCTTTCTTCTTCTCTCTCTCTGTTTCTGTCTCTCTCACGCATACCTGCACACACACACACACATACATATATACTGTTGAGTAGGAATAAACTAAAATAATATTACTGTCACTTAGAATCATTGCCTTATAGGTTGAAGATAATGATTTTCCTATGGTTTCTGTTGTAAATTAATGAAATTCATAAAATATGTAGTAATGACAAAGAGCCTTGGGATTGGAAGGAAATATATTTTTCTAGATCTCCATTTAGACAACACATTTAAAACCCTGGAGAATGGGGCATTTGGGGATTGTGCTCTGAGTCAATCAGAAACTTGAAAATCCCAGTTACCTGTAAAACTCTCCCACTTTCTCTAAGTTACTCATAACAACATAGCCTTGATTTAGGACATAAATCAGTTAACTGTCTACTCTTTTAGGAACAATACATGGTTTATTTACTCCTGTTTTTTTTTTCCTTCTTTCTTCCTCTATATCCTCACTGTTTTAGTTTTAGTCTTTTCCAAAGAGCTGAGACAAAGACTTGATTGCCAATAATTTTGAGGAGCATCTGATTCTAAGGAATAGAAGCCCATAACAGGACAAGTGAAAGAGGAAAGACGCAAAAGCTGGTTCTAGAATATATTATCAAGTTGGCCACCAAACAGGTGACTGGCACTCAAGCCCGTGACACATTCTGAGAAGACTTATGAAATACGTCAGAGCTGTTTGCTTAGGGGATGAAAGATAAAAGCATTTATCTGTCAGTTCCCATCCCTGTTTGGACAGACAGACTCCTCAGATATTAAGTTCCCAGCACATCTGAACATTTTGCAAGATTCCAAGAATATCCCATGCTCAAGTGTCAGAGAAGTCTCTAGGCAGTAAGTGGTAGTTATGTGACCCAAGGAAGAGCACTGTTGGGTTGCCTCTGCCACAGCTGATGGAGGGTCACATGGAGATGGTCACCTCACTGTAGCAGAGTTTGGAGTGCCAGGTAGGGCTCAGAGCATGGTGAAGTGGGGTGCAAGAGTTGTCTGCATCACACATCTTTCATACAATCTAGACTCTTTTTAAGCTCCACACCGAGGGCTCCCAAACACTTTGTTTTTGTCATTCTCTGAATTCCATTGTGATTTTATCTTGGCTGCCTGACCCTTATTTTTTTGGAACCAGATAAAAACAAAATAGAGAGATCTTTAACATTAAGTACTTTAAAAATATAAATATCAGCTTTAAAGAGGGACCATGCAGCAAAATATAGAATCCTTCTATCTTATTCAAGGGCTCCCATCAACTTGATGAATACCCATTATTGGTTTTCCTGCATTCACCCCAACCCTTTTTTTTTTTAATGATTCTCTTTCTACCACTTAGATATGGCACCACCCCCTCATCCTAACCCTTAAATCAAGCAAGAGACCTGAGACACCATCCTGAGATCCTGTTTTGAAACATCTAGCAGAATATTTTTTTAATACTGAAGACCATTTTTGGTTGACTATCATTTGACAGTTCTCAAGGTAAAAACTTACCTCCTGAAATCATCAGTGCAAACCAACTGGAAGACTGGAATGAAAGATTTTCTTTAATGTTTTTCCTGGGGACACTGCCATTTACCATCATATGCATTTCTATATGCATTTTGTTCCTGCTTGTTCATGATTGTGTATGGGTCTGAATAGAATTTCAAGTAATTGTTTAGTCTCTATATTTGGAAAACCACACTGCATCACTGAGACGTGTTCAATTTATTAACTACAAAGTCCTGTCATGTTTCGTCCCCTTTCTTGAAGATTGGAGTCTCTGCAATGTAAGTTTCTGCATAAATCGCTGCCAAAATCCAAGCGAGAAAAAAAAGGAAGTTACTGAAAAACACTGGTCAGTCTCTGAAGGCTAAGCCTGAGAACTGACAGCTAGCAGCTAAGAAGCAAGTCTAAGTCCTTTAACCAAGGATTAAGTCTTGAGGATACACTGGATAAATGTGCCCAATCTGAGCGGCTTCAACTGCTTTACTCTTATTTAACGTACTTCTGTCACTATTGTGCAAGTTACTGAGGTTATTACCCCCAAGGCATTCCTCTTTTCTTTTTATAAACATTACTCTAGAATTAGAAAATCTAATGAGTAAGTCACAGACCCAGGGTTCAATGGCAAGTCCTGGTAGAACTTAAACAAGCTTCAAGATTCTTATTTTGTTAATATCATACACCCATAAGAATTATCACTATGGAGGACAAAATACATAAAGAGACACAGTTCTCATTACTGAAGAGATAATTATGTACTCTGAGGACATAAGAGAGCCATGCAGAAGCATTTTCATTATATGTAATTAGGTGTGAAGTTTCCCTGTACTATTGAAATAAGTTTAAAAAAATTTCTAAGGGAAAACATTTGAAAGAACTGGAGGCAAAAGGGAAGAATTTGTAGAAAATGGGAGGTTTGAATTTGGACTGGTGGAGAGGGTCAAGAAATGTATTTCTTGTGAAGAATGATACAGTTCCACAAGGCACACAGCATCCTGTCTGGTCACAATGGCATTTTTCCATTTCCTCTAGTTCTTCTCTGCTGTTTTTCCTTCAGATCTTTGAAGGACTGGCTCCCACTTGTCATTTAAGTCTCCCGGAAATACCCTAATATTATCTTATTTATGTAGGCACCAGTCACTCTCTAGTGGTATTTTTTTTTTCTCCAAGTAACTTGCCTTAACTGATACTGTCTTGTTTACTTGTCTTTATTGTACTGTCTGCCATTCCCCAATAAAGTGTTATCAGCATGAGAGAAGAGAGCTTGTCTATCCCCTTTACCTACTGTATCAACAGCAACCTGAATAGTGCTCAACATGAACTTGGGCAAAAATCATAAGTATTGAATTAACTGATGAATCTACCACATATAACCACATGACCTTACCTCTTTCTTGGTGGGAGGTGGGACTTGAGTATATCTTTTTCTCAAAATCTTTGTGTTCGCTAGAGGTTTTCTTGACTATGTTCTTGCTTCATTTAAAGTCTATTCAATTAAAAACAAAACAGAACAGAATGATGAATATTTTAAGAGATAAAAATATTTCTGCATCTGTCTCATAAAGGTATGCATTTGGCAAGACAGAACACCTGGTCTTTTGTGTTTACAGCATGATAATTTAGCATATATTATGGACATTTAAAAGAAAAATCCTACAGATTTTCTATTATTTTTTTCTATTGCTATTTCATGAGATCCACTGTCATCTTACAGCATTGCTAAGAGTTTCAAGGTTTTAAATAAATATGATTGCCCCATAGTTGTCATTAAATTTTTTAAAACCACTTTCATAACCAAGTAGTTAATAATTTGTGTTAATCATTATTTAGCTTTTCTAAAGAGAAGTGTGGAATTTTATTCTGTGAATCAAGCCTAAGAGAAATACAATAAATGTTTAATAGGGCTTCTAAAATGAGGAATTTCTGGTTGAAACAGGAAATATGGAATCCAATGGCCTAAAAACCTCTCATTTTCTTTCGAAGTCATAGGCTACTACTTGTCCCACTTTAAAGACGCACAAACAACACATTAGGGATTGAAGTAAAAAAGATAAGATTGGATAGAAACTCTTCACCACTGTATGAAATATATCAACTGAGAAAAACACACACACGCACACACAATGTGAGAGCTGTGAGTTCAGTTTTATTTGGGGCTTACTGAGAACTGTAGCCCAAGAGACAGCCTCTCAGACAGCTGTGAGGAACTGCTCTATAGAAGTGAGGGGAAGTCAGCAGATACATGATTTCAGTGAGGGGGGTGTGTGCAATTAAACACACATCTTGGTAGAAGTCTGCTGCTACTCACAAGGAGCAGCTGTCTCTGTTGATGATTTTAGAGCTTTTCTAGGTATGAGAAGATGCAAGCGATCGGATTTATAAAATTCTCTCCTGAAAATACGTAACTATCTGATAAGGCTGCTGGAAAACTAAGAGTTTTCAATCACTAGAGGGATCAGGTAGAGATAAAAAATAAATGTTTCACTTCTGTTTACAAAGGTACAATTTACCAAATTGCTATAAGCCGTAATTAGCTTGAGGGGAAGGGTTTTCTTACATCTGGAAGCACAGATTAAAAGCCAGTAATGTTTCAGACAGAGACCATAAAAATTATTACCACATTCACCAGTTCATGCAGTCTTTTGTGTCTCATCCTTTTTTTAGTTAACCATTTTATAAAGCCATCAGGTTTCCAGTCAGAATTCTTTTAATTTCTTACCCAGTTCAGTGGTATGATTTGAAAGTTATCAGAAACCTATACTTATAAAAAAAAATTCCTTGCTATGAATCTTCTTGAAGAGGGAGCATATTTACAAAGGCATCTGAGTAAAGCAATAACTGAACAACAAAAGACTTAAGACATGCTTAAAAACAAGGTTAAAATGCAATTGAGAGAGAAACATGGTTACTGTTGTGACATGTAACATCTTAAGGTAATAACTAGAATTATGACTCATGACATTTTTCCAGGACATATCAGATTTTTAGGAATTCCATGTAATTTCTAGAATGTCTAGAGTAATTACATTTACCCATACAATATAACATAAGAAGACTTATTACTCATTTAACAATACTCCCCATGTAATTTAACAGATCAAATGAACCTAATTAGTTTAATATCTTTCTTTGGGATGTTTCAGGGGATCTTTGGAGCATCCCAAAGTCAGCTCGCAGTCAAAAGAACTTTATTAGAATTTGACTCGTGGAAGTTTGTAAAAACATCAAAATGGCTTAATACATTTGTCAAATAGTATCACAGGTCACTGTGAAACAATACTTATTCACTCAACCAAAGGACAGTAAAAGATTTCAAAGGCAAATACAGAAAGTTTTAACAGATTACCAGTTATAGGTAAGGAAATTTTCCAACCTGTTTTCAAAAGCAGATCAATATTTTAAGAAATTTTGTCCTCTTAACAGAGAGAGAAACCAAATTCAGATTTGTACCACTTTACCTTTAATATTAAAACTCAATTAAGATTATTCTAGTCAGTTCTGACCATACATAGAATTCTAAAGATATTTTTCTTCTCACAGACTTTCTATAACTTTCTATACCCATATTAATTTGACCCTTATTTTCTCTCCTATTTAGAAATAACCAGCTTTAAGGCAAATTATTTTCTTTTCTCTTAACAAACTGCTTTTTCATTCCTCATTCCTTCTTTTACTGAAAATCTTCGTTTCTCTGCACACCAAAACGTTTCCTTTATTATTTCTAGTAGCTTAAATTATGTATTGAAATTAGAATCTTCAACTCTTCAAAACCTTAATTTCTAGTAAAAACTAAGAAGTAAGCAATTGTGAATTGTCTTTTACATTAGCAGTCTGTACATTAGCAAACTTAAAAATAGCATTAATTTCTGTGCTTTTTTATAGAAAATATCTCAGTGTGGCACCAAATGTATTTATTCACAGTCCTAACACAGTCCAATGTTCAGTAATTAATGTTTCAGTGTCTTATTTTATTTGGGAATGACCTAGATATTCAATAAACCTCTGTCATTTAACTTAATTTAGCAAAATGCTGAAGTTTCAAGTTACCAAATATCTGGAGAGACTATTTTTAAGTAGATATTCCTAAAACATAATTATTCTTGAGGAGCATACCCAAAAGCTCTTATCTCACTTACATTTAATATACTTATAAAAATTTTCATTATACCGAGTTACTTTGCTTGCTGACAAATTCACAACAGATATAACAAGATCTTACTTGACTTCTAGTAAACCTAGATATGATAAAAGTGTTATATTTAATGCTGATGACTTTAAAGACATGTCTGTATTAATTAAATCAACAAAGAAATTAATTTCAATGCCAAATATTAATTGAATACTGAATATTTCCCAGTTCACTTGAACCTGAAATTCATTTGGTTTAGTTACTGTAATATTTCTGAGAGTTTATATAAGTGCTTAATTTCCTTTAAGCCAATTAAATAGCATTCATTTACAAATTAATTTTGGCAATACTATCTGGAATTAAAGAGATAAATTTACAATGCACACATAGACTTACAGACAGACACAACCAGAGGGCCTCTTTTCCCTTTTTTCCCCCTCAGTCTCAAGAATTAGAGATGCTCTAGGTAAGTATTCCTAGAAGCCTTGGTAGAACATTTCTATCTCAAGGCACAAGGAGAGAAATGCAAGCTTCTCTTAGAAGGACTTGTTCTCTCAGGATAAGAATTCTGAAAATATGTTTTACCGAGCTGGCTTTCTCTAACTTAACTACAATACAATAAAAGAGCCCCATTTTGGCCATTTTCAATGCAAGATTGTTCTTTAGTTCCCAGTTAAGTTAGTTCTTGCAACTATGTAAAGACATAAACCCTGTTAGGGTATTAGTTGGAGGCTGGCTTTCTGGTAACTCTCATTTAGGAAAGATGATAGGCCAGCTCCTCACCTATCACCTAGTGCAGACTGCTCTTTGTTTCTCAACTGAGCAAAGGGGCACTTTTTCCAAGCGTCTTTCAACTGAGCTCCCCCAGTATCTTTCACCTGGCGGGGACCTTGTAGTATCTTTCAACTTTCAACCTCTGGGAGCCAGGTACCTGTTACACACTGCCGAACAAAACACAGGAGCATCAACCCACAATCAGGAGATTGGAGAACCAGGAAAGACTCACCCAAATTCTTCTGGACTCTCCGAGGAGGCGGATGGGCCCACAAGGCCTCTGCTGCTACCAAGGCTCAGATCCTCACAGAGCCAGGCGAAGGAGAGACGTCTGCTCTGGTTTCCTTCCTGGTTGCCAAAACTGTCGACTGGAGAAAAAACAGACAACGTCAGAGCTGTGAGTTCAGTTTTATTTGGGGCTTACTGAGGACTATAGCCCAGGAGACGGCCTCTCAGACAGCTGAGGAATTGCTCTGAGGAGGTGGCGGGGAAGGGTGGTGTATATATATCTGGCTTTGGTGGAGGGGTTTGTGCAGTCAAGCACACATCTTGATAGAAGGTTGCTGCTAAGTCACGAGAAGGTCGCTGTTAGTCACAAGGAGCGCATGTCTCCATTAATGAGTTTAGTGCTTTTCTAGGTATGAGAAGATACAAGAAATTGGGTTCATAAAATTTCCTCCTGAAAATGTCTAATTATCTAAAGACCTGTTCTACCAGTTTTTTTGCAGAGCACAGAGTGCCTCATTCCTGATCACCACCCTGAACTCCTTCCAGGGTGTGTTAAAGGTCAGTGACTACAGTGATATTCTTTAGTTGGTAAACCACTCAAATTCATGTCCTAATAACCACAGCTTTGTATTTACAGAGTGGCACATCAGTATGAAGAGATGTTAGAGAAACTTAGATTATTATTAAAGAAAGGATAGCTGAGGGTTGTCAATAACTATTTTCAAAAATATTAAAAACTCGGTAAAAAGGTCGGCTAGATGTTTTCTTTCTACATGGAGACAGAATCAAATTAAATGGTTGCAAATTACAATGAGAAAGATGTAAATTATACCTTGGAAAACCTTCTCCACTGCAGAAGTCGGTTGAAATGGAACTGTTATCTTTCACTGAATTACTTGGAGTCAGAGGTTAAAC